TTTTATTTTTGATATATTTGATTTGGTAGCAACTAATAATAGTCGTAATACCAAATGTTAGCAGACAAATTTCGCGCTGTTTTAGAGTTTAACAGTGACAGAAAGTATCATGTATATCGAACTACATGAACGACTGGGACAATTCATTGGTTCAATTTAATATATCGTTCAAAAGAACTTATTCCGAATGATTCGATTTCCAATTTACACGTGATACATCATGAGCCAATTTACACATTCAATAAAAGTGCCCACCCAATATAAAGCAACAGCCAAAATATTGAAAGCGGCTATCGAAAAACAAAAATCAATAAAATCCCTTATATTTGAGGAAAAGCATGCGGTAAGCAGCTTAAAACAAACCCAGATTTAAAAGCAGCCAATGAGAACTACTGCGTCTTTTTTTTAACAGCGCGTACGAAGCTTGCAGGCAGTTCTAAAACATTACAGTGACAACAGAGGAGCTGTTGACAACGCCATCGAGGAGACTGGGCTACTGAAAGATAATCCAAATTTAGACTCGGCATTAGCCAAAGTGCTTGTCACGGAACTAATTTTCGGACGCGGAGAACTTAACGGCGAAAGCAGACCGGTGCAAACAGTGCGCTTGTATAAGGAGCGATTGCAACAGGCAATAAGCGGTGCAGAATACCAGAAGAAAGGCAGGTGCTCTTATATAGACGTATCTGTAGTCCAAACAGTATTAGTGGCAGTCATCTGTTAATTGCCAAAAGACAATGACCAAAAAGTCGAAAAAGCCATCTCCACCAGCTGTGGCACCAATAAAGTCCAACATGCAACTAATCAAATCGGAAGTTAAAACTGAGGAAATGAATTCAGAACAGCCTGACGAACAATCGGTGGATAAGAGCTTAGAGGTTTTTCTCTGGCTAATGGCCTACAGCGTGCTAATGTTTACGCTGCCTTTCTTAGGCTTTTATGGTGTGCGCACCTGGCTAGATGAATCATTTCCCGAACTGAGCACTTTTCAAGTGAATTGCTACTCTGTGCTAACAGCTGTTCTAGTTGTCAATGCCATTGTTGCTATGTATGTGCTAAAGGCGGTCCGTGAAAAGGATCCACCTGCTTTGGCAAGTGAGGACGAGGAAGATAAGAAGGAGCAGTAGTTTAGTTTAAGATCAGCGTAATAAAAACAAGCTGTAACACTTTTAAATGCTTTTACATTTACTCAAATACACAGAGCCCAATCCACGCTATGTACGCATCAATACCAATCTGCTCAGTATTGCCGATGCCCTGGATTATTTATATGGCGAGGAGTGGCGTCGCAAACAGCTGGCAGCAGACGCCACATATGCTGACTTTTTGGTTGCCATACGCACATTGGAAGAGGATGAGTTCCTGATGGACATTCATGTGGAAGGGGTGTTAATATTCCATTCCAAGTGGAGTCACTACTGGGCCTCGCACGACTATGTTCGCAGCAAAAAGTTCATATTGCAGAACAAGGCCACCTGTTTGGCTGCTGAACTGCTAGCACCACCGGTTGGGTCAACTGTATTGGATATGTGTGCAGCTCCAGGCATGAAAACTTTGCATCTTTGCAATGTAATGCAGAACCAAGGCCGCATCTATGCCGTAGAACAATCTAAGGAGCGCTACAAGGCCTTATGCGACATCACCAACGAAGCAGGCTGCCAAATAGTCACGCCCATACTGGGCGACGCTCTTACCATGGGTGAGTAACAGAAATTAAACTAAGGGGTTTATTTGCTGACAAAGTTTTCAACCTCTACAGATTCTACAAAATGTCCAGACGTCGAGTACGTTTTAGTAGACCCTAGTTGCTCCGGTAATGGAATGCAAAGCCGCATCAGCGTGTGTGATGAACAGAAGGACGACAAGCGTCTATATAAACTGGCTGGGCTGCAAATCAAGATTTTGTCCCATGCCATGAGCGCTTTTCCAAACGTTAAACGCATTGTCTACTGCACATGCTCCCTTTGGAAGGAGGAGAATGAACAAGTGGTTCAGCGCTGCCTCCAGCTAAATCCTTCATTCAAGCTGCTCAGTTGCAAGAAGGCACTGCGAAATAAGTGGCAAAACGTCGGCGATAAGGAGTACGTCAAAATCGGAAAAAATTGTTTATATTGTCTGCCAGATTATGACCTTACCGATGGCATCTTTTTGGCGCTGTTCGAAAAACGCCAAGACAACGACTGCGAATAGTCTTAACGAAAATATACGGATATAGGTTAACAAATTACTTTATTTGACATTTTGCCATTAAATTCAACTTCAATTTACATGAACATTTTTTGGTTAATGCGAACATTTTAAATATTTTCTTTGCATTTTTATAAAAAAAATAATAATATTCTTATGTGTATACATATATCATGATTGATACGTTTTGAAGATAAGATCATTAAATAAATATATAAAAAAGATATATATTGGTAATGAGCGATAATACAAAAAAAAAATTAAACATGTAATAAAAATTGGGTTGGTAATCAACTTTTTTATGTCAAAATTTAAAAACTTGTACTGTGAAAAGGTTGCCATCGAAAATATTCATTGCTCTTTTCTTTAGCAAATATTCAAATCATACTCTATCACGATTGACAGTTCGAAATTCAAAGTCTTTTCATCCAAAATTAATAGATTAATATATATAGATATATCAGACCAGTATTGCAGATTATCTGACCGCTAAGATTCTTAGCGTTACCAAAAATGCTGGCACAAATCAACAAGCCAGTTTTGAGACATTTTTATCGGCCCCTACGATTTTACAATTCCCATATTGTAAGTATATACTAGTAATTGAATTTATGAAACAAACATAATTTTGAAGTTTGAACGTGTGTTTAGTTACTGATTACACTAAACTGACCGAAGTGTTAAAAAAAAATATAATAAAATCGAACGCGCTAGGCGCATTAACTTGCAGCTGGTGATTGAACGTTTTAGTGTGGAACGCGTATATATATAACTCTTATATAAACGCTTAAAAAGCTGCCAGAGCTTCTCCCACTCTTAAACTTTCATCTGCTGCTTGTAGTAGTTGCTTTTGGCCAATCGAAATGACTCTGCCTTAATGGCATCCTCCATTGTGACAATGGGTTTCTTAGGACAGTATTTGATGGTGTGCGCCGAGTCGCCGGATGCTCCGCATATGGGGCACACATAAGTGCGAAGCTTGGGACACAGCACACGTCCGTACGCATCGCGCACTGTATGGCTGTTGACCACAGCTTCGGGTTCGTTATTGTTTTCACAGAAAACACAATGCCTAGGCACCTATTGGGTGCAGAAAATGGAGAAAGATTATATATAGTTTCGCACGCAAGGAAGCTCATCTACTTACCAGTTCCTTGAACTTGCCATTGTTGTACCGCTTATTCAGTTTGTTATTGCTAATGTTCAAATTACTTACATTACGCATGTGATCTGGCGGCACGGCCAAGCCCATAGTGTTAATATTGTTTTGGCTAGAAGCTGGCATTGCAAATCCCATGTTGGCTGCCACATTAGGCATGTAGGACATGGACATGGTTCGCCAAACATGGTTTAGGTGCTCCCGATAATTGCTGAGATTGATCCAATGGGCAGCAGCCAGTGAAGACGGGAAGGTGGCACCTTCAGCCGTTGCATTCCCCCCAGTACCTGCCGATGAAATAGGGACTTGGCTTGGCAACTGTGACGACTGCGGCGCGACGGAACTATGATTATTGTACTGAAAACAATTGAATTCATCGCTCACATAGCCATTAGCTGCAAACTCCTGCATCGCATCCTGTGTAGATCCACTGCCTGTATCTGTGTATGCGGATTTGAATTAATTAGAGCTATTTTACGACTGAATGTTAACTTTTCTAACTGATCAGCAGTGAAACATTTCGTCCCGGTTTGGAGACTTTTTACGGACTTTTAAGAAAAGCTCAAATCAAAGTTGAATAACCGAAATACTTCAAATTCTTATGATCCACTGGTGATTGTACCGTTGCCTCTCTATCTACCCCACTCGCACTCACCTGCGTTGCAGGCCGTGAGTAAAGCAAACATTTTTAGTGAATGCGCTATCTCGTCCTCTTGGTGATGATTCGCAGCAGCCGCTGAGGCGGCCAATGCCAACTGATGTTGCGCAAATGCAAGTTGTTGCTGCTGCTGTTGCAGAAGCAAGTGATATTGATACTGGCGCTGCATCAGTAGTGTACTGGCCGCAGTAGAGGCATTCATGTTTACGTGGTTACCGTCCGTCAGCAGGGGAAATTGAGTCGACGACATAGTAGGTTCCGGTGTCAGTGGGGTCGTTGGGGGACTCAGAGTTGCCGATGAGACAGGTGGCGAGATGTTGTGTGAGGCCGTATCCAAGTACATGTTGAGTCCGCCAAGATCGTGGAAGGACGACATATTGTCCTAAATAGAAATAAATGTTGTTTTTTTTTTTTTTTGTCAAAAGTAACCTTTGACTTTGTAATGGCGTCCACTTACAATTGGTGTACTGCCTTCCAGGCTGCTGCCACTGCGAAACATGACAATGCCAATGACTATGTGTATTGATTGGAATGTAGGATATACTAAGTGCCGTTATTGCACTTTTCGTTTTGCACCAATTGTTACACGCATAAAACTAAGTTAAAATTTTTTAAAAATTTGAAGTATTTTTATGCGCTACTTCTTTGTATTTAATTTTGATTTATGGTGAAACTTAAATTCACTGTGCAAAAATGGCGCGCAAGTACAAAAGAAATTGTCAAATCCCAAAGATCGGCAACTGGCGCCAACTACAAAAGCAAATAAGTATGTACATATGTAAGTGAAATGAGAATACGTACTGCGTTCCCATAGCTCAATTCCTGGAAGTCGGCTAAGCTTGGCCGAGTAACGGTTTGAATCGGCGCAATTCGCTCTCGCAAAGAGTTGCCACATGGTCTCAGAAGCGAATGCCTGAAAGGGAATTGACAAAATAGTAAAACTAAGCAAGCAAGACATATAAATCAATTCATATAATACATATCATCTGTAGTTTTGGCGACAATCAACCGCCATTTCTCCATAATTACGATTGCTGCACAAACACCACCCCATTGATTCCAACAATTTGAAATACGCAGCCGACCACATTCATTGCACAGCACTATACTCGTCGTTTGCCAACACTGCACGCTCAAAACAGCTGATGCTCAAATTCTGATACGTGCGTGTTTCAGAGTGCGAATTACATAAATTTGGTACGATTGACGTGAGTTCGCTAAGCATTTATCACATAGCGAGTGTCCGGCTGAAAATCATCGTAGCAGCAGCACCTGTCACCATGGTAGGTTCATACATTTTAGGTAGGCGCAGCTATTGGAACTAATTTTCCCATGTGACTGATTCGAGGTTAAACTTGGCCCGAGTACATCCCAGTTAATCTATATGCCCGCTTCTTATTCTTTGCAGTACAAATTGGCCGCCTTAGCGCGCGAGCGCGCCTGCTTCATTACGTATCAGTTAGCGAGTTATAACCTGCAACAACAGCCGGTAAGTATAAGTGTATGTATTTCAAATCTAGACACAAATATATATACATATGTTTTCTAATTGTTCACGGAATAGCAACGTTTATATAGCTCACCCGGACGTCGGCCCGGCTTTTTTTCACAATTCATTGACAATGTGAGGAGTGAAATGGATAAGAACAAGGAGATGAAAGATAGCATAAAAAAGTTTCGCGAAGAGGCACAAAAACTTGAGCAATCGGATGCTTTAAAGTCGGCGCGGCAGAAGTTCAACATCGTTGAATCGGAAGCGCAAAAGTCGTCTAACATATTGAAGGAGCAGTTGGGGGCCATCAAGGAAAAAGTGGGTGATGTTATTGACGATGCCTCCAAATCGGACCTGGCCAAAAAGGTATCTGAGGAGCTTTCCAAAACGGCAAAGGGCGTTAGTGATACCATAACGGACACTAGCGGTAAACTTGGCCAGTCTGGAGCTTTCCAAGCTATCTCTGATACAACGAAACTAATTAAAAAAGAAATGAATGAAACGAGTATAGAAAATCGCGTATATTGCTCGCCGGTTAGGCTGCGAAAGCGTGTGCAAGTGGATTTGTCCGATAGCACGCGTGTTGTGGAGGCGAATACCGAGGCATTAGGTAAGCGGTATGTTCCTATTGGCTGAAGAAGTAAATAACCATTTATTTGTAGGATTGGAGCTCCATAAAGACTCCAAATTCTACCAGTCTTGGGAGAATTTTAAAAATAACAACACTTATGTGAACAAAGTTCTCGACTGGAAAGTGAAGTACGATGAATCGGAAAATCCTGTGATTAGAGCTTCCCGTTTGCTGACCGACAAGGTGTCCGATGTAATGGGCGGTCTATTTTCTAAAACAGAGCTGTCCGAAACGATGACTGAACTGGTCAAAATCGATCCCAACTTTGATCAGAAGGAGTTTTTATATGACTGCGAAAAGGACATTATACCGAATGTCTTAGAGGCCATTGTGCGAGGCGATCTGGAAATCCTAAAGGACTGGTGCTTTGAAAGTACCTACAACATAATTGCCACGCCCATAATGCAAGCGAAAAAGTCTGGCCTGTATCTGGACTCCAAGATCCTGGACATTGAGAACATCGAGCTCGCCATGGGAAAAGTCATGGAGCAGGGGCCAGTGCTAATAATCACGTTCCAGGCGCAGCAGATCATGTGCGTACGCGACCAGAAGGCTCAAGTTGTCGAAGGCAATCCCGACAAGGTGATGCGCGTTCATTACGTGTGGGTGCTTTGCCGCGATCGCAACGAACTCAATCCCAAGGCTGCCTGGCGGCTGATGGAGCTATCAGCCAATAGCCAGGAGCAATTTGTTTAAACGTGCTGCACACAATTTACCTCTAAGCAGTTTAAGTTTCTCATCAATCCCAGACACTACACACCAACGACAGACACATCTACAAACCCGTAGCAGTTGGTTTTAAATGTGTGCAAAAGTTTCGCTCTTATATTACTTCGATGGTTTTGTCAGCTGCTAGTCGCGTGCGTTTGTTAAGCGAGCCGGAGCTGCTGGTCAGTTTCCTATTTTATCTGTGATGCAGTAGATTACTGGCTCGACTGTGCATCTAGCGCGTGGCTCTGGCGGACCACGGTCATCGTCGGCTACGCTTCACCCTGACCGCCCATTCATGGCGTTATATATGTTGTATATTTTAACCTATCTTGTAAGCTGTATATGAACCTGTGAGCTTGGGTGCTCAGAGTGCGGCGTGGCCGGCGGCGCTCGGAGGCCGCAAGTGTTTGGCCCAAATTTAAATGAAGCTAAAAGTGCAAGCAATTAGTAATTCTTAAGTTAAATTGTTGAGTATAGGAGATTTGTTACGTATTTTAAGGCCAGTTTAAGCACCCGTTTGGCTTAGGCATAAATTCACTGTACCGAATAGCTGAAACTAAAAAGCCACATATACAAAACCCACACAACAATTTGTAAAACCAAAACGCTACACAAATAACGTCTAGTATAAAATAATAAAATACCTTTACATAAAAAAGAAAATGTGTATCAAATTCATTGTTAGTTTGGAGTTATATCTGTGTAGAAGAAGAAAAAACAGTTTTATTCCAGTAATTGGAACAAACAAATTTTAAACATTTGGCTTACGGGTTTGCAGATATGTCAGAATAGTGAAACTCTTAAATGCTAAGTTTGATAAAAATTCTTATTTATAGTGCTCTATAATAAAGTAATACGCTATTAAGAGCTTTGGCTATAATTTAAGCAGTATAGTTTATCTAATAAAAATCGTGTTTGGTCAAGGTATCTTAATTAACACAAAAGTTGTTCATACAAGGACTTTATTTTCGACCGATTTTTCTTAGTGCAGATATAGATATAGATATAGCTCCTCAATATTGATAGCATATTACATATATATATAGGATCATAGTAAAAATAATAAGCACCGAGGTAAAAATGTAATGTATTTAATAATGAGGAAGACACTCGTTTTGTCGAGCATTAGTAAATAAATAAATTTCCTTTTCGGTTGATTTACAAAAACGTTTTCCAAACAGTTTCCCACTTTTCGACTTATCTTTTCTATGTCAGCAATATGAAATACTGGTCCTCTCCGGCCGGTTGCAAGATATGTACTGCCTGCAACAGGATGCTTTCAAATTTGAGAGACTACTTTGCATAGAAACAGATAGGAGGACACGAGGGATCGACGGGCGGACTGAGAGACAGGACTATATCAACTCGGCTGTTGATGCTGTTTTGGAATATATATACACTTTATGAGGTCGGAAATGTCTCCTTTTATGCGTTAAAAATTTAATGAAAAAAAAAATTATGATACCCTTTCTATAGGGGTACGGTCTCGAGCCCCAGGCAACTGTATGGATGTTGTACCGTTAAAGTCGTCGGTCCGTGATTGATAGTGCCATAAAATAAGGTAAGGTTGATGTCTTACAACTATATCCTATAGCGATAAAGGGCATAATGTGCACACAATTTTATCGAAACCCAGGGAGTGTAACAACAACAACAACCAAAAAGAGTTAGTTTAGTTAGCCAGTAGGTAAAATACGAACTGGTGTACGAAACCAAAACAAGTTCTCTTAGTCATTCGTTTTGATGCCCGTTAACTTTGAACTTGACGAAAGCTCTGTCTGCCTCTCAAAAGCTTAAACACTATTCACATAAAGAATTGGCGTTCAGTCTTCAATCGCAGCTCGTTGCGAACGCACGCGCAGAAAGGTCGCGAACGTGGACGCGTTAAATGATCAAACAGTGTTTTATGTTTAAATAATTGGTTGCTAAAAATCCCAAACGCTTACTCACCTGGGCAAAATATCAGCTGACGCACTTGACTGAATATTATTTAATTTTCAAGCGTGTGATAAGCGATTTATTAATAATTGATAAAAAACAGTTCTAAGGCAAATAAAGCGAAAATGCGTGTCAGCAACGGTTTAACATTCTGCAGTGTGCTGCTCTTTGTGCTTCTGACGACGGGTTTCTGTAAGTACATACACACACACACAACCACACACACACACGCATAACATAGACAGACAGATAGCCAAGGCGCACATAAATATCCACGCAGCGTCTCAATATTTATTTTTCACTCGAACATTATCTGCAAAACTAGTTACGAATGCAGCTGGAAGGCAGGATAGCCGAAGGCAGATACGCTGTTGGATACTCAATTACCCTTTCTTTAACTGTTAATATTAAGTGACGCGGGTCTGTGTCCGGGTCCGGGCCAGTTTGGAAGCCAAGTTAACAGCGCATAAACACTTTTGTTTATAATGCCAACTGCCTTCAGTCTGTGGCCAAGGGCCTTGAAATAAATATCAAGGTCCGTCTACTGAAAATATATATATACAGTGTCCCTATAAGTTTTTGCTTCCTTATGCTCATTGCCCGATAAGATATTGCCAGAGATTATGATAACAAATGCTGTCTATGATAAGAAATTGATTCATGCGTGGGAGTACTTTTTTGCAATGCTTTTGATAACCTTTATTCCTAATATACAACTAAAGCACATTTTTGAAGCAACCTTTCTGGAATATTATTCGCAAACCTTTATTTCTGCGCGCGATTTTAGCGCGATTTATGTGCGATTTATGTGCGTTTTATGTGTTGCGCATGACAAACAGATTTTGAAACGCGACTGTGGCATTAGGAATGTGCTTATTGCTTGTGCTATATAGGACATATTATATACAAATATATGTATGTATATGGTATATATAGACAGGTTTCGTGGTATTGGATATTAAGCTTGCCGGTTTGGTTTCTCGTCTCCACACGTTTATTTGTTTGCTCAAAAGTATCTCCAGAAATTATGCCAGCATCTGATAAGTCGACAGCAGATAATATGTTTTTTTGCGTGTTGCGCGATTTCTGGGTAAGATAAATATTTTGATTGGACCAATAAACAAAGGTGCGATATGTTTTAAAGTCGCACAGCATGTGCAAATATTTGAAGATCTGTTTGTAGAAGAAACGCCTTTCAAGGAAAATGCCATGCGCAAATATTTATTTAATGTCTCGATCTGTTCTGGCTAATTGCATTTTTACAGCTCATGCCAAGCCCTTGGAGGAACTGAAGAAAACTGATACCGAGCTAAATGATTCGAATGGCCAGGGACCCAAAAATAAAACAGCTGTCAGCGCTGGCGAAGAGGTAAGCTAATCGCTTTTGTGGGCGGGGTAACTGGGCCGGCAGACAGAGAAGGCCGACTTTAGGAGACAGACAGAATTAACAAGGGATTCGAAATGAAATATGATATGATATAGCCTGATGGCTGGCTATGCAGTGCGGCCGGTTTATTTTTAAACACAGAACCAGAAATTTACGCTTTAAGAAATTTGTATTTATTTTCACTTTGATTAAATGCAAAAACCGCAAGAAAGACACGCGCGCTGTGTGCCTTATAAGGCCCAAATGCACGCAACGATCATTTCAGTGGCGACAATTTGCATAAAATGAATAAAATCAAAACTGAAGAAGCCACCACTAACAGCGATGAGGGTTTTTAACGTCTTAGTCACGAAATTCCATAAAAATTAACTCAAAATTGAAACCGACAACAAGCACGGCGTGTTGGGTTTTAAGTGGTTCCCTCGTCATGGCTATGACTCAGGCCTTACCCAAAGCAAATCTCTTTCTAAAGCCGAGTTCTAAGTTATTTGTGACGTTTCAATGTCGCATTCCGGTCTAAACAAATTGAACTTCACGCATTTCGCACGCGATTTCACCTGTGCACATCAAATATCACTTTCCTCCAATTGCCTGGCCTAAGCCAGCACCTAAGCACTTTTTATTATATTTTGCTATAATTGTCGCTAGTTGTAAATAATTTAAGCGTTTAGAGTGAAACACGAGGCGGGCCGGCAGATGGAACCTCAATGACAAGTCACGTACCAGCATTTGTTGTCGAGAACTACCTACTCGGCTCTATTGAATTACTGGCCAAACATGATCTAGTCCGCTTTAGCTTACAACCCTTGGGTCAGTAGAAAGCTCAGAGTATGGGTTGTGCAATCAGCCCCCCCTTTAAGAAAAACGTGTTTCTAATAACCGTGATCGGACCTTGGCTTGTTTCCAGACGCAATAACGTTCGTCGGTGGTGTCTGCGCATATTAGAGAATATGTGTTTAAATAACAGAATACATATATTTTAAATCTCTAGCAATTATGGTTTTCAAGATGGACGCGTTTATACAGAAAGACGGACAGTTATGACAAGTCATTTCACCATCTTAATAAATTCATACAAAACTATTTTACCTGTTCTTTCATATTCAATGAGTATAGTATATAGAATAATCTCACTTAAAGTGAGATTAAATGTATATTCGTAGTTTTTTTAAACTACATATTATGTCCAGTAAGTTTATATAACATTTCCCGGCCTTTTCCAATCCAAGTTGTTTACATTAAAAATTGTCCTCTGGTTTTCCGTCCATGGAGAATTAAAATATAGGTGTTATATCTTGAACTGCTATTCTAACCTCGCGGGGAGAATGTTAAAGGACGTTGACATTTTCGCTGAGAAAGGATTTTTACAAAGATCTTTGACAATGTTTTTGAAGGAAATCCACAGTTACGTGTGCAATTTCCAAGTTCACTAAAACACGTATTAAGTTTTATGTAATGCTTTGAAGTCGACGAGGACGAGGCCGAAAACTTCCCCCAAAGCAGTCTTTGACCCCTATTTTCATTCTCGGTGGTTTTGCTAAAAGTGTTAAACATGTCTGAAATGAATTTCCATAAAGACCATCCTTAACCTTCGATCCCATCAAGATGGGATGGATTTGGATGTGTTTGAGACTGATCGAATTTTCGTGCACCTTTATCACGTAAGGTAACTACAGTTAAATTGAAAGTTTCCTAGCTCTTACGGCTTGAGCTATACGTTGATCAGTCAGTCCGCCCCGGTTGATATATTTTTTTTACAGTTTTGCAAAACCGTAAGCTCAATTAAATGGGTGTTAATTCGCACTTAATTTTAGTCATATAATATCGGCTGATCTTAAAATGAAGCACCTCAATCATCCACTCAGTTTTATAAGTTAAATTTGACGGTATCTATTGCCGTAATTTGTCACGCTCATGACGTCAGGCTGCGGAAACGAATCGACCGCAAATAATAGACATTTAATCACGTGCCAAACTTATCGTCGACCTGAATTCATATATTGTCATATATATGTCACATGCTTGTATTTTTATAAGGTGGGCGTCTAACGGTTCTGACATTTTGTAGTTAAACACGGCCACGAATTTAGTGCTCGCCGGAAATTATAAATACGATGTGGAAATACTCGAATCTGGCGACAACGAGGATGCAAATCGAGACAGCAGCGAAGAGTTGGAGGAGCGTTTCAAGGGTCATGGCATCTACAACACAGACACCGATACTTTCGTATCCGAAAATATTGAGATGACGCCCGTGGATGTGGAGTCTAGTGCCATAAGCGAGAGCCATATGCTGCTCAGCATAGTACTTGTCGTGGTGGCTCTGGTGTCAGTCTGCCTTTATGCGGGACTGGTTATATGGAGATCGCATTTAGAGTACGTTGCAGGCTGCTTATTACAGGCATATATTTGAGAAGTGCTAATTACTGATCTCTTGTTTCTACAGGCAGCGTTATGGCATGCGCGAGAGACTAGTGAATCGGGATGTGGATGAGGAGGGCATTGACGACGCGGATTATCATGTGACATATCCGCACACACTCAGTCCCTACGCCCCAACAACTACGGCTACCACGCGATCGTAGTCTAGTTTAATTTTCGTGTAGGATGAGATTCAATTACGCTTAAGTCTATTTTAAATTGCACTTGATAACATTGTTATTTGAGCGCATTCCGTGAGTTCACACTCGCATACCCTGGGTGTGGACAGGGTCGGGTGCATTAATGCGCATTGTCAATTAACCACATACACACACACACACACACACACACACACACAATCACACGTCAAATAATAATTCTAAAGGTCATTTTATAGAAGTTTCGGCCCGAAGTTGGGCATGCCAATTTAGTTTTAAGTTTCTGTGATATTGTTCTAGAGACTCTTTGTACGATTCAAATATTTTGTAAAAGCAATTTTTGTAAAGGTGCCCGTAATTGCATTAAACAATCTAAAAAATCAACGTTTTTTAAATTAATTTTATCCGTTAACTTGGTGCAATTTAAAACTCTGTTCGAGCTGTTCCATTTCCAGTTCAAGGCATGTTAACGCGAGCCGTAACGTGACTGTTGGTTTACATGGAGTGTACCATGTTACTTAAAAATACAATTAAGTTGGCAGCTTCTGTGTGCAGCAGATTGGTTAGAAAACCTGTGTTGCCACACTATTCACTTTCGGTCATTAACTTTCATTTATTACTCCCCATCTTATTTAATTATTGCGAATTCAATGTTGCCCTTCAAATAAACAATGAATATTATCGACTTATTTATATTAATTGACATCACTTTAAATATTCGCTTCTAACAGTTCTGCTCCTCGTAAGTCGAAGCTGCTCCACACTTAACAGTGCAAAGCAACAGCTGTCTTTTTTAGCAATTTGCACTTTGAACTTGTGCTTGTTTCGCTAAATATAAAGTGCGCGTGTCCTCTAGTTAAATTTGTGGTGCTTGTCCTAATTTGCCATTCAAGACACTCTGTTTAGCTTTTGAATTATAAGGTAAGCGCAGAGGTGAGCAGAAACTGTGATACAAACCGGCAAAAGCTGCAACATTTCTATACATAGATGTCACACGGTATGGCAGTGTGCAAAGTTACTCAAGTTCTCATTGGTATGACTGTTAACGTCCATTTACGTTCGATGTGTACTCCTTTGCTCTCTCATTCGTCAAACAACAATTTTGTGCTATGGCCGATTCATCGCACTTGTTTCGAACATTTGCCAATTATATGCACAAGGCATAGTGCAACAAAAACAGGCACGAGAGAAGTTGGGCCTCTCCATATGTACGTGCTCTTTGCTACCGTTAAAATGCGAACGCGTATGCGCACTCTTGTCGAACAGTTTCATTGATAAGAAGGCTAAGTGAAAGTCTCTTGGCAGAGACACGAAAACGTCTGCCAGTACACAATTGTCGGTCGCCGTCACTGCAGCTAGCGTTGCGCCGAACGGAGTGCAGTCAGTGGTCAAGATTGAATTTAGATAGTGCGAAAGTTCTGACGCGCTGTCCGTGTAGTTGTAGACGCCACATGCAGCACACGTTGTGCTGTTATTAATTTAGTTGCGTGGCTTAAATTTGTTGCCGCTGTAGTCGCTTTAATTGTTCCAGTTACCGCTCGCTTTTTTAACCAGTGCCAGTGTGTGTGTGTGTGTGTGTGTGTCATCGACTGTGCGTGGGTGTTTTTCATATCAATTAACGGTAAAAGCCAGACATCGTTTTCAACGCTTTTGTTTTTTGTGCTTCCTTACGCGCTTCCTTTTCCTCTCGCTGGGACTTGTTCAGCCGCGTGCCAACCGTAGTTAGACAGGACCATCTGGAGAAAACAATATGACGCACTGGGAGGACTTTTACAACACACATCTGCCGCCAGCAGATTTCGAGGATAATCGCTCTCTGCTTAAGGAGTTCTGCGAACGACATAATAAGCTTCAGAACCGGATTGTGCTCGTTACGGTAAAAGCTTGAACCCACTCATCATTCACTAATGCCCTCAAATTCCCGCTAATGAGCTAACCACTCTCTTTATTCATATATTTTCCGCAGTCGGGCGGCACCACAGTCCCCCTGGAGCATAATACTGTGCGTTTTGTGGACAACTTTAGCGCCGGCACTCGGGGCTCGGCGAGCGCCGAGTACTTTCTGGATCACGATTATGCCGTCATTTTTATGTATCGCCACAAGTCACTGGAGCCGTTCACGCGCCACTTCACTGGCCAGCAGTTCTTCGATATGCTGGACATAGCGGACAACAGCCAGAGCTCTACGATAGCCATCAAGCCAGACTCGGTGGACGTGTTTGCGCCGGTGCTGGCCAAGTACAAGATAGCGCGCGAGACCCAAATGATTCTCTACGTCAACTTCACCAGCGTTGTCGACTACATGTGGCTGCTGCGCGCCGCCTGTGAGTGCCTGGCTGCGTTTGAGGAGCGTGCTGTATTATATTTGGCAGCAGCCGTATCCGATTTCTACATACCCGAGGACATGATGGTGAGTCGCAGCGAACGCCGTGCCCCAATCTCCGTGCATTGAGCCCCCCACAAGGTGGTCATGTGGGAAATCTTGTAATTGATTGCACTCGTCATTCAATGACTGGCGGCATCGCCAGCTCCAGTTGCCTGGAAATTGCTTTTTATCGATTCGCAATGTTGATTGCCTGCGTTTGCCGTCGGCTCTGCCTTTGACATATTTTCTCTTCACATAATTGACGTCAGTCCCACATCTACCAGGACTATGAGGAGCAGCAGCATCAGCGGGAGAGGTCGACAGCAGCTTAATATTAACAATTGCTTTTGACACGCTGCTCCCTTGTCTCAATATCAAATGCCTGTCAGCAGCACTGACTTTATGTATATATATATATATGTAAATATATACATATATGTATCTCTATCGGCGTCCTTGAGCTAACAACATCATCAGCCTTAACATTGTCATGTTGCCTTTAATTTGATTTGCATAAATTTGCTTGTTGTGCCCACGTGACTGTGTTCTCCCCTCCCTCCCACTATCCAGTCTAGGGGCTGTGCTCGACCACATTTTATTTTCATTTTAGTTTTAGCACTCATTTACATGTTCATGCAAGCTTTGGTTGCATCCTCCGCTTGTCATACTCTGTCTCCGTCTCCGCATCCACTCATCGTTGTCGCCTGTCGCCTGTCAGCAGACTTTCTGGTGCTTATATATTCAGTGTTCAGCGGCAAAATGTTTTCAAGTACATGCATCAAACGCTCATTGCTGGAGGCGTTTGTCGTCGCGCCGTGGGCTGCTTGCGGTTTTCACCTACTACCAAAGCACGCCCACCCGAGCTACACCCACTCACATAAATATATACATACACATGCACATGAAAGAGTGTTGGGGCAGGTAAACTGAAAGTTTTCCACTTGTCGCCTACCTTTCAGCCTCACAGCTTCGTGCTGGCATTTTCAACGCTCTATTTCCGTTTAGCTCGTGCATTTCCGCTCGGCCTCATGCTTGAGGCGTTCCCAGAGCGTCAGCGGTTGGTAGGGCGTTAGCCACAAATCCTTCGCTTGATTGAATTCTTGGATGTTCTCGCAACCCCTTTGCTTACTTTTCAAAGTGCAATGACGAAAATTGCCTGTTGATGTGTGTTCTTTTAAATTTATGCGCCTATTGCGCTATGTCTTCCTCTGGGTTTCTTGAAGCAGGTCCGTTTCACCTGGTAGTCTATAAATTCACTTAGTGTTTATAATTGCATTTCCATTGAGTTGCAATGCCATTTTCATTCCATACGCATTTATAACTTAATTATTCATATGGAGCTTGCATACAACTAAGATACATGTGTCTACATAATTTAGTAATTTAGAAATATGTCTGACCCGATGGATAATTTTTATAAAATTAAATAACAAACAAGATTCTGAATGTAGGTTCACGAACGAAACCTCATTGCCAGAGAAGTCAACCACATTAAACCTTAAAGCATGAATTTCAACTTATGCAGTCAGACAATCTTTATAAGCTATGCAGTTCGGGCTGTTTTCGGATAGGGCATTTAACACCCACTAACAGTTTCAAGGACAATGTCAAGAAATTCAGCGCCGTACAACCTTTAGGTAAATTTATGCAAATGCGGCAAACAAGTTGACATTTCATAAGGATTTAGTAGGGACGAACACTGTCGCTAAAGTAAATTCTTATAAGCCAAAACCAACAAGAAATTATAAATGTAAACTACTCGAACAAAAAGAAGCAAGGACAAAGGGATAGAGAGGAAGCTAGAGATAACCAAAGTAATGACACTGGGCGCAAAGCAAGCGACGAGCTCAAATCTGCAAATCAAATCAAAAAACTTTACAAGAGCACGCATGAGCGCACACAAAGGGACGGCGACCTATACGCACTCGTACTCGCCAAGAAAGTGGGTACAATGACACAGTCTCGGAGCAAGGACAGAGGAAAAAAGGGAACGTGAATAAGTAGCCAAATTCAATGTCAACAGCTGTTGGCAGTTCTTAAAAGCAAGCACAACTAAAAACGGTCTAGCCGAGAGTGCTCGACTAGCATAAACCCTGCAGCTTTCTGTAATCATAGAATAATAAATAGTATATTAACTAATTGGGTAAAGTTTTTCTTATTTGCGATATCAGAATTAAAGCCGTTATAGGTAGAGCTTAAATAAAATCTGCAGTTTCTGTATGAATGGACTGAAATATAATTAGAAGAATAATTAAATGAATTAAATAACTGAAAACTTGAAGGCGTGGATTTGAAAAACAATGTTAACTGCCGCATTTACAAACTTTGACCTCGAATTTTTCCTAACTTGGTGATTTTGCGAAAATCATTTTTTCTCAAAATGTTCATAGCTGTGGCTGGCATTTCAGAAACCGTTGGAAAGTCCTTATGTAGAGTGTGGCAAATAGTGTTTAGGCTATGCGTTGTGTATATGCCGAAAGAGCTACGAAGCTGTAATTTTTACTGTAGTTACTTTACTTGCTAATACGGGGTTTTCACTATATATAACCTGCTATAATATATGAATCTTTTATATACATAATCTAACGTAAAGTAATGCTACTCCTTATTGTGTAAGTTAAGGATATTAAAACTTATTGCCCCAAAAGCTTAAAGTTCGAATTAGCAAAAGCAACAGCGACAGCGACGTAAGCGTTGCGCAGTTGCCAATGTCGCTTTGGTTCGTATTCGTTGTCATCTCATTGCCTGCAGCTGGGTTTTTCATTTCACTCAGAGCCCGCAAAATGTCCTGGCTACTTAGGCTTATCTGTCTAGCTGGCCGTCCTGCTTGCCTGCCAGTTGCCTTGTGAGCGAAAAGAAATGAGACTAGTCAGCAGTTGGGGGAGAAACCTAATCAGCGGCGAGGTATTATGTTCAACAAGTAGTCGGACATGTGCCCAGTAGCCCACGCTGCGTATGTGTTATATTTAAAGAGCATATGTGCAACGAGGCGTCA